CAAGGGAGACTGGAATGGCCATTTCTGGCTTATTAGCCGTCGTCAGCCAGCCATACCCAAGCCCGAAGTGTGGAACACCCGAGCCTCGAACTCGCGACCTGTTGGTTTAGAAGTCAACGCCTCAACTCACCGGGCCACGAGCCCGTTGCCCTGTCGGCTTTCGATCGGGAATATACAATGTTAGGGGGCGCTCACCGATCGTGGATACGTGGTCTTGGATATAACCAAACCAGCTAAGCAGTATCATCGAAAAACCTAGCCTACGTCCAGCACTGCAAATTATCGACCGCATCACCTTTTCGAAAATCGAGGAATGTGATGTCTTACTCTCACTGTTCTGTCAGTTAGGCCAATCAAAGCATGCGACGCATACTGTGAGCTCGATGTATTGGTTATCGGGTAAGATTGGGTTATGTAGTCGCACCTGAGGGATCCAATACTGTTGACCTACTTAATTATTTTGAGTTCGTGTGATTCCGTTGGCATGGTGTTTCTGTGCGTTACGGTGTGTGTTCTGTTGGCGGCCTTGTTTCTTTGTTGTCGTGTCTACCGTTTTTTGCCCAATGCCGGTGGTCCTTCTTGACTTTCGGCCTGTCTTCTTCCAACTTTCGTGTTGGATGTTTCAGGGTTTAAGTCTGTGGTTAAGGGCTAGGGTTTTGGTTAAAAGTTTAGGGGTTATGATTATGGATTAGGCGTTAGGGCTTAGGGTTGGGGTTAGCGATTATGGCAACTATTTCTCAACCGCTCAAAGTACAACTGCGCATTCCCAAAATGTTGTCTATGAGATCCCCGACCCCACCTGTAAAAAGCCCTATTACCACCGGAACCGTATTACAGGTGGCTGGGGTTTGTTTACCTCAGGTGCGGCTACATAACCACATATGATCCACTGGCTCATAAATTTGTTTACATTTGCGTCACCGATAAGGCGAACCGAGTCCAAGTTTCGACTGTGCCGTCTGTGACCAAGAAAGCGTGTAGTGGCGATGGCGGGAGGCGGAGGGAGTAGAGAGAACTGTCCTTTGTCAGTGGTTTTTAGGCAGTTACCTTTGCCCTCTTTTTTCGGAGTAAATCAGACGAGAGGTGAAAGTACACTGGGCGAAAATGCACCCCACCATCATTGCGAATTAAAACAAAAAAACTGTGCCGTGGGGGCCTCCAGGACTCCGCACCAGGGTTGAATTGATGATAAAGCTGTCCAAAGAGCGAAAAGGGAGTCCAAAGCAAGTGACGCAGACAAGGCGAAAACGCGAGCTATATACATCCATCAAATGCGAACTTTGCGTACTTTGGACACGGTATGTGGGAAGCTGTGGACAAAAGTAGCGATGCGGCATGTCTGCCGATGCAAAGATCGCAAACCCCCCAGTAGGCTAAGAGAATCCAGGAAATGGTCAATATCAAATGGAAAGTGGACAGGGTTCTTTTGGTTGTGAAGTAAAAACCATTTGTTTTGATGATTATTTCTATGTGCTAGGTTCTTAGAAGCCACTGCACATTCCTACAAACATTTCTCCCAAGTTACAAAGCATTAACCTTTCAAATTTTTTTAGATATTAAAAAAATTCGAGGAAATTATGTATGTAAACATAGAACAACTTCTAAACTGGAGTTCATCTACCAGAAAGCGCACTGGGAATGCTGGGGGACCCACTGATGAGCCATGCAGCGGCAGAATATCATCGAAATACGCGTGTCTGGGTTTTTAGCTACTACCTATGCTGCCAGTATGGTATTTTCTAAAACTAAAAATGCCCTTTTTATGCACATGTATCGTACATGATTTAGGAGTTTCATTTAATACGTTATGCAGCTTGAGCACGTTGCAATGATAAATCTTTTAGAAAACATATAGCCATAACGCCCCTGTATGAAGTCAGCTCGGGAAATCAGCAGAGGAAACATGTACCAGAAATAAGAAGGCTTGTTGTCCACTGAAATCCGTGAACCAGCAAAAGACGCGAGATGTAATTAGCTATGCTTGCATACAAAATTGGCTATACAATAAAGTCAGGACTGTAGAAAGGCGTTATAGCGAGGGATTACTGCGTAGTCAGAAAATCGACCTGAGCTCTGAAATATGATTTAGATTAGAAAAGATTGCATTTGCGAGAATAAACCATGATACTTGGGTACTTGAATATTTGCGCACTAGGACGCTGGCCTGCCACTGGCTATCTGCAAAGTCCCTTATTAAGTAGTATCAATCTTCCAGTAGTTTTCAAAGCCTGTGTTAATCCAATTCTATTTTCTAGAAATTGGACATAGGGGGAAAAACTATTTCTTCTGATCCGCCTGCAAGAAGCTGCATCCCTTAACGAGTTTCTTATTTGACGAAGGGACTGTCTTCACCTTAAAGATTTGAATAATTTGACTGACACACTTATTGTTCAAACCCTCTACCACAAGTGCATTGCTTCAATACAATCAGAGTTCTGACCACTCCGGCTACGGGGCTCCTATCGAAAGTCCTGGCTTTTTCACATTTGGGCTAAGTCATTCACGTCCAGCCGGATGCAGCTTATGAAACCCACTAAATCAGGGTCCAAAGTCAGGGGCCCATAGCTTAGGTGGCTAGAGCGTCTGTCTCATCAATGCCACGCCTTCTACTTTCGAGACAGTTCACCGATTCTAGCGTTATTTTTGGATCCAATCTCCTGTTGCGCTTACGTTCAGGATTTCTAAGTGGCCGGGTGTGTGCTTTCTAATTGGACGAAATCCGAAATCATTCTGTGCCGTTAAGAGGAGTCCACCTAGCGCTCGTAAAATCTCCGGCCATTTTCAGTGTGTATGCCTCAAAAGCGGCACCAATGGGGATGCCCGTATTACGCTACCCGAATAACCATGTCGGCTTCCCAATTGTCGTTAAGTTACAAACTTCGCGGACAGTTACTGCGGCAAAAGTATGGTGGGTAACCCCCTGGCTCTAACGCCAACCATGATCATGGTTACAATGGGTGGTCTAGACTCTTAAACCGTAAGCGCTTAAGGAAAACTCGAACGTGACCGCAACCTTAGCCCTAGGCTTTAGATCCCTGACCCAAACCCTAAAACCCAAGCCCAACCTACTAACCCCAATTCTAAACGCAAACTCCAGCTCCAGCCACAAATCCAGACTACAACCCGAGCCTGACAACCTCAATCCCAGGAATAACTCAACTCCGAGCACTAAGCCCTAACCCTAACCTTGAACACGGTCAGGGAAACTTGAACGTCAGTAACACTAGTGGAGATCAAAATCTGCGTATCGCATGACCCTTTTGCTGACCTTTTGTCAGGAAAGCCGTTGTGAGCCGCAGACTAGCATTGCAAACAAAGATAGGGAAGACTAGAACGTCCGCCTCTGGTTTATCAACCGTCGTCAACTAGCCATGACCCAACCCCGAAGTGTGGAACATCCGGGGCTAAAACGATCTTTGGTTCACCGCTCTGTTATCGATGATCGTTATTAACTGGGTACTAAAAATCGATGAGAAAGTCGATAACATTCAATCATGGACTTTTCGCAAAAAAGGTTTACCGAGGACGGCCGTTAATATTTCCGAAGAATGTTCCCATGTCATGGCAAGTACCATGAGTCGCGATTCCACTCGATGCCCATCAATATCGCAGTCCTGCTTAAACACTACCCTGTATTAGGAAGTGTGTTTAAGGATTTCGGTCAGTACGTAAGGAGCTGGACAGCAAGTACACACGAGTCAATGAACGCGATAATCCTGCTTATTAAGCATTCTGGGGAGACCGACGATACACAATGATTACTGGCAGAAGGCTATTACCGATAAAGACAAGGGAAACTGGAATGGGCATTTCGGGTTCATTAGCCGTCGTCAGCCAATCATACTCAACCCCGAAATGTGAAACACCTGAGGTTCGATAACGCGTCCTGTTAGTTAGAAGTTCAACGCCTCTAACCACTGAGCCACCGGGCCCGTTGTCCTGTCGGTTGCGATCGGGACTATACAATGGTAGAGGGGCGCTCACCGATCGTTCCTACGGAACTCACTCGTCCTGTTGTGCCTTACGGGCTCTCTCTCTCGAGCCCAACCAGCAGCCGCACAGAGGCGCATGATATAGACAGTATGTTATTACTGAAAAAGACAAGGGAGACTGGAATGACAATTTCTGGCTAATTAGCCATCGTCAGTCCATCCTACTCAACCCCGAAGTGTGGAACAACTGGGGTCTGATACCACGGACTGTTCAACGCCTCTAACCACTGAGCCACGGGCTCGTTGTCCTGTCGGTCGCGATCGGAAATGTATAATGGTAGAGGGACGCTCAGCGATTGCATTACGGAACTCACTCGTCCTGCTGTGCCTTATCGCCACACCACACCTATCTAAATAGGAAGTTACTTCTTGAAAATCCATCCAAGGGGGGTTACATACCCTACTCTCACAGTCAATACATGTGTTATATTCCAAAATTGTGCATAAATGTGGAAATCGCGGCTTCTACTAGCGAATAATCAGCAGATTAGAAGAGTCTTATCACTTGCCAGTTTTGGCGAGGGGGTTGACTCCCCAAGTCTGAGCGGACACCGACAAGAGCCCTTAAATGCGAAGTAGAACGAAACAGTGGCATGCATTACCACTAACGTAGCTCTCCTTGCTTTGTGAATGGCGCTTTCCGAAGGAAACAATTCCTGCCTCCCAGCTAACCGATGCACTACTGTTTGCTCAGATTCGATTTGGGGCCTAAATAACAGCAAATTTCCCACACACACACACACACCCCAGTTGCCTTTTTTGATGGACACCTCATAATCCAGCCTCATGTTTACCCGGCAGTTACTACTTGCACTTTTCTGACGTCGAGATGTACTCTCAAAGTCCACATTCCCGTGATCTTGCTTGTTATTTCTTTTCTTCTTTTTCACTGTATTCGAGGTGGCCTGAGCAGATCGTGATCAGGCTGCCAGGTGATGCCCCGGTGCCTATAAAGGCCTGCCGTTGTGGCAGTCGATGCAGCCGCTTTAGTTAACCAGTGCAATGGCTATGTCAGTGCAGAAGGATCGCCTCTTTCGACGTCCGGATGTTGAGTCCTGCTCGCCGTTTTTGCCAAAGGTCTACGGGGGCATTGAGTTGGTGAAGGTGGACCTGCCGGATGAGGAGAGGGATATTGCCTTGGAGAAACTTAATCGCCTGCTGAATAAGTACAGCGTGGAGAAAGATATTGCCCAGAAGTTGAAGAAGCGCATGGAGAAGAGGTTTGGAGGCTGTTGGAGCTGTATCGTCGGCTCTTCCTTTGGTTGGTAAGGCTTTCGGCTCTGTTTACTGTCATTATCAGACAATTTCATGGAGACTGTCGAAGTGTGGCATGCAGGAACAACAGCTATATAAAAGTACTGTCCTGTGATGTCGCGTAGGCATCATTGGAGGTCTCGGCCTCAATAATGCGGTTTTTAATAGTGATTTCTGTACAGTGGGTAAATTTACACGTGTATAAAAGATCGATGTGTGAGCTTGAAGTACAGTAGGTGGGCTAACTCATGAAATGTCAACCGAAATACTGAAATGTGTTTTCCTTTCGAAAAGATTAATTAAAAAGGGTTTTAAAACAAGTCAGCCTGCAACGTAATGCTGTAATTATGCAGTTATTTCAGGATGCCGGCTTTCGAATGAACTTCCTTTCGGCTGTATGTACAAACTACACTTTTTAAAAAATTAGTGCTTAATTAGCGTGAACTTTTCGCATCGACTTTCAATGCCTCTAAAATTCAAATTTTATTTCATGGAAGACATGCATAAAATATTCATTCTTTTGCTCATTCGGTAGAGAATCACATCTTCTTCCAATTTTATACTCGAAGAAAGGGTATAATTCTGTTTCCGAAAAATTTTCCAGTTACCAATTAATTTTTAACCCTATCTGCCGTTACACCCGTATTCTGGGTTTCCAAACTACAAACCGTCTATTTTATGAGTACGGAAAAGCATACATTTCTCTATGGTATTGAGAGGAAATCATATGAGGTTCATAAAATTTAGCAGTGGATTTGATCCATACTAATAACTTTACAAACCACATTGGTAAAGGCAGAGACGTGACGTTTTATGAACGGCCATTATATGGTATTGAAAATCTCACAATTACAAACTTTTTAAAACCGAATTATACCCTTCCTTAGAGTGTAAAATTGAAGGGAAACGTAATTTTCCACTGAAGGAGCAAAATAATGAATATTTTTATGCATCGTTTCCATGAAATAGAATTGAATCTGTAAAGGCATCGAAAATCAATGAAAAAATGTATTCTACTTAAGTGGTCATTTTTACGGGCTTTGCTTTTTGGATGCAGCCAAAAGAAGTCTTTTTTTAAGCCGGCGTTCTGGGGTAACTGGATTGTCATAGAATTATGCTGCACGATGGTTGGTTTTACAACCCTACTTAATTAATCTTTTCGAAACTAAAAGGCATTTCGGAATTTCTGTGGACATTTCATGAGTTAGCCCACCTACTGCAAGTCTGTTTGGAGCAAAGTTGAGCGTTTTCAACTGCACCCTTTCCATGACAGCCTTGAGTGGAGCGTAACAAGTCTTAGGGAGAACACCTTTCAGTGAAGTGATCCAACGAGCTATGACTGGCTCCAATGGTAGCAGTTTATTCCCTCCATCTAGGATACGTATGCAGACTCGATCAAATCTCTCAACTTTCAGACAGCCGCAATTCTTAGGTTGTCAAATCAGCAGTCCAGCACACTTGGACAGGCGTCTGTTTATGAAGCCAGGCTTTGGTGACCATGGGCTTCCATTACTTACTTACATTACGGAAATCGGGTCAGCTTTCTCATAACCTGTTTGTTTACGTAATCTACCCTTGAAGTTTTGAATACACGCGCGGTTTTTCAATGACAGTCGGCCGTCTGACCTTTTAACAGTAACTGGGTCCAGTCTTGCCCTCCACACGGGCCACCTGGTAGATGTGCTGGACTAACACGGAGGCCACATAGGATTCTGGCAGGTCTTATCGGATTTGCGCACCATTACAAATGCTAGCATTTCGGGCTGCGGTGGCGGACCCGGTTGCCGGCAGACGTCGCGCACACTGGGAACCCGTTCACCCTCCCCGGCCCAAAACCTGAGTCATTTGCTGTGTGGATCAGGGGGGGGGAGGGTGTGGCGTAGGACGCCAAGGTGCGGGCTCGACCGTGCTATCCACCTGCGTCCTCTCCCACCTCCGGTCTTCATGACTCTGTCTTGACGCCGGGTCCAGGTGGGGAGTGGGGGAGAGAGAGAGAGAGAGAGAGAGAGAGAGAGCGGTAGATGCTGCGCATGTCTACTATCACTTTAAACAAATTGTGGCCGTGTCTGCTGCACCTTGCTGCGGAACACACGGTGGACGCCATCGAACTCGACGATCAAAATGTCGGGTCCAGTCGTCTCTGGTTTAGCGGTGCTTCTAGAGTGTTTGTTGTAATTCGCTGGGTGCAGAGGTTTCAAGTACAGCGAAGTCGTCCCGTGTCTGAAGATCGGGACACCCGGATGAACGCCTCGGTGAGTGCACATACCTCTTGGAGCGCCCAGTGAGTGTAGCAGAGGACGCAGTACCCACAGCCCAAACATGTGCAAACATTATCACTGATCAGAATCAATTTTTTTTTCTAGTTATTTTTACTTGCTACTTTTTCCTGCTTTTTGCAGCTTCCTGAGTCATATTGAACACGCGTACTTGCAGGCCCGCGCTGAAAAGAAGGAAATTATTCTCTTCCGTGCAGCATAAAGAGTCATGCGCGTGCGTCCTCGCTCATGCGCTCAATACATCCTCCTATGATTCTTTCCATGTAAATGCCTGGACAATAAATCTTCCAATGAGCCTCTGGTCTCCTTGAGTCTGGGACGACTACAAACATGCTATGTTCAGGATACCATGACAGTTCCGTGTTCAGGTAGGATATAAGGATACCAGTAGATCACCGGAAGCACTCGTCTGAGCTCGAGAACGCGTATATGCCCACATCGCCAGACGCGGCAAGAGGTATTTTTAGGACTGTTTATCCAGTCAAAAGTCAGTATAGGAAATTTGAAGATGGCTGTGCAGAACTGCATATGTGGTGTGAGTACAATGTGTTGGTTGAGTGAGTTCTCGTCAGAGGCTTGAAAAATCCTGAGATTGTCGAATTGGACTGTATTGGCAGCAACGTGGGATTCTTGGGGACTCTATGGCGCGTGTGTAATCGTGACCCTCGTTCGGCCTAGATTGTTTTTCACATGTAGAGATTACTCATGAAGTACTAAACGCTGCCGGATTGCACGCTAGGATCTATTCGCTCCTTACTTTTCATGAAACAGATGCGCAGTGCGTGCAGTCGATCTTGAAACGCCCTCTAATGTACGGCATAGCATGTCAAATCTTTGTTCGACCTTCTTCTGGGATAGTAGGTGGACGGACGCGAAGGCACCGTCTCCCAGATGACTTTGGATAGTTATTCCGAAAAGCATCGGTCGCAGAGTTATCGGGTCTCACGTGCTTTGCCCACCGGGTAATTGCAAGACTGGCGTCGATTGGCAAATCTGTATTAAGAGAACGAAGGACATTAGGGGTGGATTAAATCTGACGGTAGTATTGGTCGAGTTGCGGTCGTTGGATGCTTGACGAGTCGCTAGGCTTACTAGCAACCCTGCCTCTCGCATTGAATTCTGCGGAGTGGGTTTCATGTGCATACCAAGACGACAGAAAAGAAATTAGGGGGGAACGCTAACTCACAACCCCTATCTACGTGCCCGCACTGTCAACTGACATTTTGGACGTGAATTTACCTCACTAGACACCTTCAAATCCACCTCGGTTTCAACATGACTATCAGACCGTCCACGCCATGAAACACCACCACCACCACCATCATCATCACCACCACCACCACCATCATCAC